TGGAGAGATATACCATGTCGATGGACTGGAAGATTCAATTTTGCTAAGATATAAGTTCTCCGCATATAGATCTCTGGACTTAACACAATCCTAATCAAAATCTTAGCACGATTGCACAGATATCAATAAGCTAATCATAATATTGGGAAATCAAAGGAACAAATAACCAAAACAGTTTTGAAAAAAGACAAACTTGGAGTATTTACACTATCTGATTTCAAGACTTCTAATAAAAGTACAGTAGTCAAGATAGTGTAGTATTGGCAAAATGACAAGCACATAGATCCATGGAACAGTAGAGAGTCTAGATATAGATCTACACAAATATGGTCAACTGATTTTTTTTTTTTTAAGATTTTTTTTTTTTATTTGACGGAGAGAGAGATCACAAGTAGGCAGAGAGGCAGGCAGAGAGAGAGGAAGGGAAGCAGGCTCCCCGCTGAGCAGATAGCCCGATGTGGGGATGTGGGGCTCGATCCCAGGACTCCAGGATCATGACCTGAGCTGAAGGCAGAGGCTTTAACCCACTGAGCCACCCAGGCGCCCGGTCAACTGATTTTTTACTACAGTGTAAAATTAATTTAATTTAATAACTTTTTCTAAGTTATTCAACAAATAAATCTGGATAATTGGACATCCATACACAAAGAAGTTAGTCTCAACCTATATCTCAAACTTTATACAAAAATTAATTCAAAATGGATCATAGGCCTAAATGTAAAGTGTAAGACTTTAAAACTTTTAGAAGAAAACAGAAGGAAATTGGGGAAGCTTAGATTAGGCAATATCTATATTTCTTAGATATAAAGCATAAACTATGTTGGAAAAGATAAGTTGCACATTATCAAAATTATAAACTTTTGTTCTGGGAAAGATACTGTTAAAAATGAAAACTTAAGTTACAGACTGGGAGAAAATACTTGCATATCACATACCTAGCAAAGTTTTTATATCCAGAATATTAAACAATTCTCTAAACTCAAAGGTAAGAAAACTCCAATGGGCAAAAAATTTGAACAGAAATTATACCAAAGAAAATGCAAAAATAGCAAACAAGCACACAAAATGATATTCAACATCATTAGTCATCAGGAAAACACAAGTTAAAACACAATGAGATACCACTGCAGAATGGCTTTTTGTTGTAGAATGGCTATAATAAAATTTTCTAAACTGATAAAACCAAGAACTGGCAATGAAGAGAAGAAACTAGATGTCATACACACTGCTAGTGGTAATGGAAAATGGTATGGCTGCTCTAGAAAATTTGGCAATTTCTATAAAGTTAAGCTTATACTTAAAATATCACCCATCAGACTTCTTTCCAAATATTATCCTCAGATTCTCATGAGGAAAAACAGAGATTTTCCTCCATGGTCAGGAATAAGACAGGAATGTCCACTCTCACCATTACTATTTAACATAGTATTAGAAGTCTTAGCTTCAGCAATCAGACAACAAAAAGAAATAAAAGACATCCAAATTGGCAAGGAAGAAGTCAAACTGTCAATATTTGCAGATGACATGATACTCTATGCAGGAAAACCTGAACAAAAAGTTGCTAGAACTGACACAGGAATTCCCTAAAACTGTAGGATAGAAAATCAACATAGAGAAATCTGTTGCATTTCTATACATGAATAATAAAGCAGCAGAAAAAGAAATGAAGGAATCGATCCCATTTACAATCTCACCAGAAACAGTAAGATACCTAGGAGTACACCTAACCAAACAAGTGAAAGATCTATACTCTGAAAACTATAGACCACTTATGAAAGAAATTGAAGAGGACACAAAGAAATGGAAAAACATTCCATGCTCATGGATTAGAAAAACAAACACTGTTAAAATGTCTATACTACCCAAAACGATCTACACACTTAATGCAAACCCTATCAAAATAACACCAGCATTTTTCACAGAGCTAGATTTTCACAATCCTAAAATTTGTATGGAACCACAAAAGACCCCGAATAGCCAAAGCAATCCTGAAAAAGAAAAGCAAAGCTGGAGATATCATGATTCCAGATTTCCAGCTATATTATAAAGCTGTAGTCATCAAGACAGTATGGTACTGGCACAAAAAGACACATAGATCCATTAAACAGAACAGAAAAACCCAGAAATGAACCCATAATTATATGGTCAATGAATCTTCAACAAAACAGAAAGAATACACAATGGGAAAAAGAGAGTCTCCTCAACAAATGGTGTTGGGAAAACAGGACAGCAACATGCAGAAGAATGAAGCCAGACCACTTGCTTACACCATACAAAAAAATAAATTCAAAATGGATGGAAGATCTAAATGTGAGACAGGAAAACATCAAACTCCTAGAAGAGAACATTGACCTTGGCTGTAGCAACTTCTTACTAGACACGTCTCAGGAAATAAGGGAAACAAAAGCAAAAATGAACCATTGAGTCTTCATCAAGATAAAAAAAAAAAACTTCTGCACAATGAAGGAAACAATCAACAAAACTAAAAGGACGCCTATGGAATAGGAGAAGATATTTACAAATCACATTATTTGATAAAGGGTGGGTATCCAAAATCTATGAAGAACTTATCAAACAAAGCACCCCAAAATAAATAATCCAGTTAAAAAATGGGCAGAAGAGGGGAGTCTGGGTGGTTCAGTCAGTTGAGCTTCTGGCTGTTGATTTCAGCTCAGGTCATGAATCGAGCCCTGCACTGGGCTCTGCACTCAGTGGGGAGTCTGCTTGAAGATTCTGTCCCTCTGCCCCTCCCCCAACTCATGCATATGTGCTCTCTCTCTTTCAAATAAATAAGTATTTTAAAAAGAATGAAGGGGAAGGAAGAAGGGAAAAAAAGGAAAGGAGAGAAGGAGAGAGGGAGGGAGGGAAGGAAGAAGGAAAGAAGAAATGGACAAAAGACACGAATAGACATTTTTCCAAAGAAGACACCAGATGGCTAACAGACACATGAAAAGATGCTCAACATCACTCATCAGGGAAATACAAATCAAAACCACGATGAGATACCACTTCACACCAGTCAGAATGGCTAAAAATTAATAGCACAGGAAACAACAGATGTCGGTGAGGATGCAGAGGAAAGGGAACCCTCTTACACTGGTGGTGGGAATGCAAACTGCAGCAGCCACTCTGGAAAACAGCATGAAGGTTCCTTAAAAAGTTAAAAATAGAAGAATCCTATGACCCAATAATTGCACTATGGGGTATTTACCCAAAGGATACAGAAATACACATTTGAAGGGACATATGCACTCCGATGTGTATAGCAGCATGATCAACAATAGCCAAAATGTGGCGTGTGTGTGTGTGTATGTGTGTGTATATACATGCAATGGAACATTACCCAGCCATGAAAAAATGAAATCTTGCCATTTGCAATGATATGGATGGAGCTAGAGTATATTATCCTAGTCAAATAAGTCAGTCAGAGAAAGACAAATACCATATGATTTCACTCATATGTGGAATTTAGGAAATGAAGCAGATGAACATATGAGAAGGGGAAAAAAGAGAGAGAGGGAAGCAAACCATAAGAGACTTTTCTAAAAGATAGAAAACAAGCTGAAGTTTGATGGAGGGAGGAGGATGGGGGATGGGCTAAATGGGTGATGGGTATAAAGGACGGCACTTTATGATGAACACTTCTTATGATGTAAGTGATGAAGCACTAAATTCTACTCCTGAAACCAACTAGAATTTAAATAAACATTTTGAATAAATAAATAAATAAATAGTACTCTCAGAAATTAAAACTCTTGATCACATTAAAAACCTGGGCATTAATATTTATAGAAGCTATTCATAATGGCACCAAACTGGAAATAATCCAAATGTCCTTGAATGGGTAACTGGATAACCAAACTGAATTATAAACATTCAATAGGGTCTTTCCCAGCAATAAAAAGGAATGAACTATTGATCAAAGACTTTAGGCTTAGTGAAAGAAACCAGACTAAAAATGGTTTATCCCATAGATTTCATTTATGTGACATTCAAGAAAAGCAAAACTATAGGGACAGAGAACTGATCAATAGTCACTAGGAGGTGGCGTTGATCACTAAGGGGAAGCATAAGGGAAGTGTCTCAGGTGAGGGAACTATTGTTTGTGCTAGTCCTGATAGTAGTTCTTCAAACCTATGAACTTGTCAAAACTTGCAGAACTATATACAGGATAAAAATTGAATGTTACTGTATGTAAATTAAAAATAAAAGAAAGCTGGAGTAGTTACGTTAATATCAGAATATAAAAGCAGAAATCAACAAAACACAAAACAGAAAAACAATTAGGAATATACATTTAATCAAAATCTGGATCTTCAAAAGGTTAGGAAAACTGATAAACCTCTTGCGAGAGGGATCAAGAAGAAAAAGACACAAATTACTGGGATGCCTGGGTGGCTAAGTAGGTTAAAGCCTCTGCCTTCAGCTCAGGTCATGATCCCAAGGTTCTGGGATCGAGCCCTGCATCGGGCTCTCTGCTCAGCAGGAATCCTGCTTCCCTTCCTCTCTCTCTGCCTGCCTCTCTGCCTACTTGTGATCTCTGTCTGTCAAATAAATAAGTAAAATCTTTAAAAAAAAAAAAAGACACAAATTACTGATATCAAGAACAAAAGGATTATCACTATAGAGTCTACAGATGTTAAAAGTAAAATAAGAGAATATGATGAGCAACTTTATGTTAGTGAATTTGACAACTTAGATGAAATCAATAAATTCACCAGAAGACATAAACTGCCCAAGCTGATAAGTACCGACAGATAACCCGAATAACCCCGTATCTATTAAAGATACTGAATTGGAAGGGGAGGACCTTCGTATAAAGAAAATTCCAGGGACAGCAGACTTCACTCAGGAAAACTGCCAGTGATTTACAGAAGAAACAATACCGACTCCATCCATGTCCTTTTGGAAAATAGAATAGGAGGAAACACTTTCTAGTTCATTTAATTATTTTACAACTTTTAAAACATCAAATAGAGAGCAGTGCTTTCATTACTTACAAGACCCCCAGATCAAAATCATTGCCCAAGAATTCCTCCAGCAGACTTGTATCCAGCACTGGGTTCTCCAGAGTGTCACTGGGCCCCTGAGCTGCAAAGACAAATTTAAAATGTTCAGATTCATGAAGATTTCAGAATTGCTAATATCTGAAAACATTGATATGCCTGTACCCAAGAATTTTAAAGCAATGAAACAGTATAATACATTTATTGAGAGTGTAATCTTTCTTCCATTCAAATATTTCTTTAGAAGTCTCTTTAGATTTTGATGTAATGAGCACCGAGTGTTATATAAGGCTGATGAATCATTGCCCTCTACCTCTGAAACTAATAATATATTATATGTTAATTAATTTAATTTAAATTATTAAAAAAAGGAACTCTCTTTAGATATTACTCTCCTCCAGCAACCTTCCCTAAGTCTGGTTTAGGTGCCCTTTTTTATGTGCTTCCACTAATAGCCTGTGCTTTGTTTTATGCACTATTATAATTGCTTGCCTTTGTGTTTGTTTCTCCACCTAAAGTCTTTAAGAGCAGGGACTATGTCCTTCTTACAGTAACCATAAGAATCTATGGTGTAAAAAAAGGCAGCAATAAACATTTGGGGATGGATGGATGGATGGATGGATGGATGGATGGATGGTTCATTGGATGGATAGTTAGATGGAAGGAAGGATGGATGGTTGGTGAGTTGGTTTGTTGTTGGACAGATTATTTCCAGTTAAGTTCATCAAGAAGTATCTTGCTTCACATTTTTGTTAAACTTCCCAAAATGTAACACAATATTTTTGTCCTTTTTCTTGGTTTGAAAAAAATAAAAATAAACTTACTGGTTTCTTTCTGATCATAATAAAGACATTAGAATTTAAAAAGAATAAAAAGTATAAAACATAGGAATACATAATAATGAGGACAAAACAATATTTGATTATAGATAACATGACTCTATACCTAGTATACTCAGGAGAAATAATTGGCAACAATTAGAAATGATCAGAAAATTCAACAGAGTAGCTGATCAAAACTAAATATAAAAAAAATTTCTTTATATATAAAAAATAATCAATCAACAATTTCAATAAATATAATGAAGAGGATTCTATTCAAAATGACAAAAAGTATAAAATACCTAAATACATATTTAGGGATAAGATTTTTTTTTAAAAGCTAAAAAAACCTCTATGAGGGGTCATAAGAAGAAATTTGAATAAATGGAAAGACATTGATCTTAGACTAAAAGACTAAAATATCATAAAACTTCTACTAGATATTGTTTAGAATATCTGCCAAACCCACATATACATTACCTGAGAACTTTCCCCTTGTGAAAATGGTCTCCAGCAGCCATATTTGTAACACAACCTCTACAGGCACCCAAATCAGGGAGACCCGATCCACTGGTTGACCAGGGACCACTACAATCGTTTCTCCTAAGAATCTCAACGAGACTTGGTTGACCAAGAGTTGGTTGTTAAAATGAAGTCATGTAATAACAAGGTGAGCTAGAGTGATAGTTTAAATATTTCCAACACATTAACCCAGGTCCTTCTTGATTTTTTTTAATCCTTACTGAAGCCTGGTTGTTCAATTTTCATTTCAATTACATGACACACCTTTTGAATTGGTGTGTGTGTTATCTGAAATTAAATAATACCCAAGTGAAAGTGTTCTGAAATTATTCTGGAAAAATAAATAGCCAAAAATCACCAGAAAATTATAGAGAAGGAGGTAAATACTGAGAAATATACACAAGGACACATCAAAGGATGTAGGATATATCTGGGGTATATCAAGAAATATCACATATACTGTAATGTATAAGGACTTTTAGTACATGCTAAACAAATCCTTTGATGCCAGTGAGAAAAGGTTTATTTAATAAAAGTCTTGGGAAAAATTGGCTAGACAAATGAGGAAAAAATCTGGATTATTTTCCTACTTCCACAACAAAATTCCAGAGAGAGCAAGATTTCAACATAAATAAATAAAACCATAGAAAGAAAATGTGAGTTAATATTTTTATGATCTTGGGATAAAGGCTTTCCCAAGCATGGCACAAAAGCCAAAAACTATAAAGCAAAATATTGATAAATTTCACTTTCTACATTTTCTGAGGAGGGAAGAATTTTTAACTTTGTATTTTGAAATAATTTCAAACCTAAAGAGAAGCTACAGGAATTTAAAGTAACTCACTTTTGCCCTGCACTCATATTCACCAATTATTAACTTTGTGGGTTTTTTCCCAGGCATGTTCTAAATATATAACACTTCAACTCTCTACCCCCACACAAATATCCCTCATGTAATCCAATGCTTTGTGTTCTTCCTAGGGGCAAGGTACCTTCACATTCAGATCATGGCACTAGTTACAGGAGAGCCATTTTACATTTAACTTTTGGCTTTATATCTCATTCATTAAAATAAATTTTTAAAAATCTTGAGCCCCTCCCCAATGGGAAAAACTGATGGATGCCAGAGATAGACAGATGAGAGGGAGGAAGAAAAAGAAGAGGACAGAAAGAGCAGAGAGATCACCAACTCTTTTCAGTTACATAAACTAAGAGGGAAATGGATGGAAGATACTCTTAAATGTTGTGATGGTCAGAATTAACCTCAGAGTGGAGTTTAGTCTTGAGCAAGACTCTGAAGAAAGGACAGGATGGAGATGAGCTGGATAAGACCCCTTCATTCTTTCATTGATTCAACAAATATTTATTAAGCACGTACCAAGTACACGCCAAACACTGTACAAGGTTCTGGGGACATAACAGAGAGGAAAAAAAAAGGCAAATTCCCTCGGGGGACTGAATTCTAAGGGAGGGAAAGGAGGCACCAGTGGGGATGGGGGAGGACAGAGGTGGCATATGAGAAACAATAAATAAACAGGATTTTTTTTTCACATGAAAATGAAACAGAGTGGTATAAGAGGCTGTAGGAAGAAAGAGCTCCTTTTGATTGGGGGGAGGGCTTCTTTAGAAAAGAGCCAGTATGCAGAGATAGGGCAACCCATGCCAGGCTGTGGGAAACAGTAAGGGCAAGAGAACAGGGGCTGTTTGAGAAACAAACAATTTCAGGGTGGCTAAGGCATAGGGAGGAGGTAGGAGAGGCTGGTCAGAGCAATGGGAAGCCTTTGGAAAGTGCCATGATATGTTTTACATTTTTAAAAGTTTTGTTCTGTATAGCCACTTTGACAAGCAGTAAGGAGGTTCTTCAAAAAATTAAAAATGCAAAAAAAAATTAAAAATGCAAATACCACATGATCCAGCAATTCCACTACTGGTTATTTACTTAAGCAATATAAAAACATTAATTTGAAAAGACATATGCATCCCTGTGTTTATTGCAGCATTATTTACAATATCCAAGATATGGAAGCAACCTAAGTGTCCATCAGTAGATGAATGGATAAAGAAGATGTGGTATATAGCTACAACGGAATATTACACAGCCATAAAAAAGGATGGGATTGTGCCACTGGTGACAACATGGATGGACCCAGAGGGCATTAAGTGAAATAAGTCACACTGAGAAGGACAAACACCACATGGTTTTACCATGTGTGGAACCTAAAAAAAAACCCCAAATGAATAAACAAACAAAAAGAAAAAATGAAAAAGTTTATTCTGGTTGCTTAGTGGAAAAGGACTATAAAGGGATAACAGAAGGGAGATGAATTCAAATGCCATCCCTATGCAGAGGGTGTTTGGATTTCTTTACTCTGAGCTAAGCCAAAGGAGAGGCACTTTACCTGGCTCATTAATCCTCATGACAGCCCTAGGAGGTAGATACTAGTATCCCCAGTTTAGAGAAAGCAAAGTGATTACACAGGTTTAACTTGCCTGCCCAGGGTCTCACAGCTAGTAAGTGATATGCAGGGAAACCAAGCAGGCTGCCCTGATTCCTGAGCACATGCTCACTCCCTTCCCCACCATCACTGCCCCATCTCATGCTCCAGCCGCTGACAGGAATGACTAGCTTCTATTCCTTCTTTGGGCTTTGGTCAAGCTGATTGCTAAGAGAAGCAGATGGAGGGAAGAATCTGTTTATTATCCCACTGAAGCCCCTGCTGGTGTCCCATCTGCTTTATAGAAACGTGCATGCACACACACGTACACATGCCCACGAGTGTGCATGTGCACACACACGTGCGTGAGCACACATGCACACACACACACACACACACACACACACACACACACACACTGCCGCAGACAAAAATCGGAGGTGGCCCACAGATGCTAAGACCTGACCAATGTATCACTTGCTTTACATCACTCAGCCTCCCCCACCACCATCCGCAGGCAGAGATAGATGGTCCACAGTTCCCAGGACCTGCCCCATGTGGCATGTCCAAACACCTTCATGAACAAGGAGGAGGATCCCCGCAGTAACCAGCTTTCTCTAGGACTCCAAAATCACATCTGTGCCTTCCAGACTCAAAGGAAATTATTCAACAAGATAAATCCGTAGTGTCAGATAAAATTGTTTTCAGGAGGCTTTACACACACAGGGAAACTTAAACGACTGTTAAAATAAATCTCATGCTTTTAAAAATAATCACTTTGCTATAAATGTCCCAAACACTTATTTATTACACTCAAACGTGCAGAGATGGCATTGTTGGGCATCCCACCCCCCTGTCGGCGAGGCTTGGTTTCAAGCTTTGATCCCACCCTGTTCTACATTTTTCTTTTGTGGCTGTCATAGTCTTGCTCAGAACAGGAGAAGCTGCCAGGCCTCCTGGGAGTGCAAGAGAACTACCCCCTTTTTCACTCTCAGAAAAGCCTTCTTCATCTTAGTTCTCTCCTCCCCTTCTAGGCTGAGGACAGCTGTCACATGGTTGGCCTTGGGCAGACAAGAAAAAAGCACACAGAGGATCAATCCACCAGAGAGTACCACAGACAAATCCAAGTCAAATCCACAGGATCTACTAATAGACATACATATACCTTTGGGGAAACAATGCTCCCCAAAGGTGTGTGTAGGGAACATACAGCAAGGCCCTTCCTTTCATTACTCTTGCTTCCTCCACCCACCTGCCCATCGACCACCCACCAGTCCTTTCTTGTTACCGTCGGATAGGCTCTGTTC